CCGAACCCTCCACATTTACTATGTTTCTCGGTCACCAGCTTGGACTGATGGTTCATCACTAAGTTGAAAAGTAGTGGGCTAAGAGCTGACCCTTGATGCACGCCGACTTCCACGTCGAATTGGTCACTAAGACCAGCGGGGCTGCGCACCTTAGTTTTCACCTCCCTGTACATGTCCGTCACCAGTTGGACGAGCCATTCTGGCACGTTTTTGAGCTCGCAGAGACTGCCAGATGAGATCTCTGGGGACGCGGTCGAAGGCCTTTTCTAGATCTATGAAGACCATATGTAGATCTTGCTGACTCTCCCTTCTCTTCTCCATCAGAACTCGTATTGAGTGGATGGCGTCGATGGTAGACTTACCAGTGACAAAGCCACACTGATTCTCAGTCACACTGGTGATTAAATGAAGCCGTTTGCTAATTACTCTTTCCCAGATTTTAAGGGTGTGGGATATTAATTTGATGGCTCTATAGTTTTCGCATAGTCTTATATCACCCTTATTTTTATAAATGGCACTAAAAAGCTGTCGCGCCATTCATCTGGTATCCCATCTTTGAGAATCTGGTTGAAGAGGATCATGCTAAAAGGTACTTATCTTAATATCTGTAACCGTGAACAGTTGAATATCTGTGTGTCAATAACATCTGTCCATCATGTGAAGACAAGTGGACATGTTTTTGATGAAAATAAATTATGTTCTGAAAAAACAGGATGGTTAAAAACATCCGTCAATGTATTTTATAATGCTTATAACCATGGAAATTGTCACTTACTACTTATAGAAGAATATTTAAGTAGTTTGATTTTTCTAGATCCATAAATCCATAGAAAACAAAAGATATTAGGTTTGCATTAAAAATTGTGAAACAATATCATAGAGTTTCAAAATCTATGTAGTGTTTGATTATTAAAATCTAAGAAATGCGAATGAAAGTTATAATTATATAGTCTGAGGCATTGACTTAATTTTTTCTTTTCTAAAAAAAACATTCATGGGTACAATGTAAGTATGATGAATTTGATACAATTATTATTAATATATTGCCTCACACTAATGAGTTTATTTTGGTATTCTTGTCAAGGTTAGCCATAGGAAATGTATACCATCTAGCTTGAAAGAACAAATCAAAGTGTAAAAGTATCTACAAAGATCTATGTGCAAAATACTGATGATGCATCATTTATATTTAATACTATTCAAGTCAAGGAATGACTTACAAAAAAGTGTTATTTACTTTTCATATAAGACTAGCTGACCCGGTGAACTCTGTTCCGCCTTAAAGGCAATAAATAAGCCGATTTTCATATTTAGTAAGTTAATTTTTTTTCTTAGAAAAATGACGTTGGCCCACGCACATTTACCAGCAACAACCGCAAATAGAAACATTCATCATTCTTGGATGAACTGTATACATACGACCAAGAGCATCCGTAGAACGCACATCCGGATACCCAGGAACCGCATCTCCTTGCTTCCGTCTTTGAAAATTCGAAGCATTCCAAGTATAATAACGTGGCATCTCCGAGTAAAGCAAAGTTCGTAAAAAACAAAAAAAAAAAAACACTCGAACGGAATGAATAGTATCCTATGTCCGTCTCCTGGCTCTAAACTACCTCCCCACTAATTTTCAGCCAGATCGGTAAAGCCGTTCTTGAGTTATAAATAGTGTAACTAACACGACTATCTTTTATATATATAGATAATAACTAGTGATCGATCGATTTTTTTGTAGGGCCGAACTGCCTTGCACACAGCAGCCTCCTGTGGCAGGCTTCGTTTGATGGATTGGCTGATTCGACATTCTTCAGAGGCTTTTAAAAACGCACGTGACCGTGAATCAGGGTATACACCATTGCATAGGAGTATATTTATGGACAGATACAAACAGCCGTGGATCTCATGAAAGCTGGTATGTACTATTTTTTCAAGCTTAAAGCGATATTTTCTCACTTGTTTACAGATTCAAAATATAGCCCTTTTTTTATAGATTTGTTTGTACTCAAGGTTTTTTTATGGCATAGAGGTACCTGGTGTAGTCAAAGGCGCATTGCTGCCGTCATTTGAGTTAGGTTCCACCCAGTTATATTGAAAGAAATCGCTCCACACCCCACCACACCGGAACAGAGTATTTTCTGTGAAAAAGTACCTAAATAACCAAGAATACAATTTATTACAAAAGTTACTGCTGCACTTAATTTATAGGTTACTACAGAGAAGTAATCTGGGCCTTACTATCCATAAATTATGTGGATACCTTACTCCTTCACACTACTTTCTATGAAACATAATTAGTAACTTTACAATCGTTATTGAACTAATGCCAAACTTCTACTATTTATTTTGTGACTCACGTTCTAACCAGGACTCATGGTGTGCCATGTGCACGTTATACCTAATCGGAAAGAGAGTCATCGATGTACTAGATCCATCAGTCTGCACAAACAACCGGTTGTAGTTGCGTGTACGACGCAATCAAACTTGAAAACGACTAAGTCTATAGCCTGGGTTAGTCAGTCTTCTTTCAACAGAATCTTTTCGAACTTTTTTGAACAAAATTACATTGTGTTACTTATAGGTGCAAACACTGACATAGTTGATAAAGATGACTACAGAGCTCTCGAACATGCAATGCTTGACCGTCAATACACGTACAAGCATGAAGGCAATCAACCGAGTGAGGTATATGTGTGGGGCAATAACTCCAATTACACCCTTGGCACTGGCACACAGCAGGAGCGTGCTACGCCTGAACTACTCACATGTTTCAACAGAGCCAACACATATGTGAAACAGGTAAATTATCTTTTAAGTTACCTTCGCGCGGCACTTAAGCTCTATTGTGTACACGGTACTTTGTGGCAGTAACTAGCGTAAACTTGTTTTATACCAAAAAAAAAAACAATTGTTTTAATGAACGTCATGCCTACATCGATCAACAAAAAGCGGATGAGAATCGGAAACTGATATCCCGATCGTCAGTCTCCTCATCCGCTTTTACATACACTAGGAGAGACCTTCAAACTGAACGTTAAAAGTTTGATGTGATGATGATTATCATGACATCTTATCAATTAATTATGTACGTACATTGCACACTTCTGCTACAAAACTTGTAGAAACCGATCATTTAAAAACTCTTTGGATGTACTTTTCACCGCCTCATTGAATTAGGATTTTTCTTGCAAAATTTATCGAAATATAAATCGTGTCGAGGTCTGCTTGGAGACTTTCCATAACTTAATGACATTTAAGACAGACTGTTGTGAGTCGTATGACGAATTTTGCACAAGTTCTTTTCAGTAATTGTAACAGTTGTCAAAAAACTGTAAAAAGCTATGCTGAGGAGAGGTGGTAGAAGCATCAGCATGGCACCTTCTATCGATTTGTGTTTAGGATATGGTTGGTAGTGACGTTATTGCTTGTAATATGAAATAAATTTTCATTGGAAGTACCATTCTGATTCCTCTCAACTTTGTGCAGCATCGACAAGTTCAGTATCGAAGATATTTTGTTGTTTACTGAAACTACAGTCGGGACTGTTAATATAGGTATAGCCAGTAGGTGTCCCTATTCTAGGAGGCTCGCTAACCGCAGAAAGTATGGGTACCTACGCGTGTACTTCAAGGTCTCAATCCCGTTTTACAAAATTTAGGGCCATTCAGGGTCTTGACTAGCTTCCTCACCATATTGCTTACCTTTCTCAACAAAGGTCGCAGGCGGCCGGCTGAAAAGGGGCGTTCCAGACCCTAAATACGACTGGGAAAACGTTAGGAAGGTAATATCATACAGTTCGTCTCTTTCGGCGTTTTTTTTAATCTTTTCAATTTTAACTAAATGGATCGCTTTCATTTACTTTAACAAGAACGTCGGTCAATACTACTGCAAAGAATACAACGTCTAACGGATATAAAATTCTCCTTTTTTATTCTCTTGACACAATCTGCCGATGACCTTTAAAAATAATTTGTGGAAATGTCAAAGAAAAACATCAACTGTCTGTCATTTTTATAATTAATATGTTTATCTGTAATCTAATTTTTGTATTTCAAATAGCCTCTTAACACAAATAAAGATGCATACAGTTGGTTTACCGCGAACATGTTTAGGATTTACAAATCTTTTGTTCTTCATATTGGGCGGAATTGGATTGTTATTTGCCTCTGGTGCACAGTGAATACTGAATTCTTCCGTGAAAGTGACTATACCGTGACGAAAAGCTCTTCAGTTGATGTTATTGCCCACTTCGTCAACCTAGAGTTATGGCTCACTCCATTGACGATGATTCTGATGCCAATAGCTGTGCTGGCAATGTTGACTTCTTGTTGTGGAGTACTCGGTGCCGGTTGCAAAGTGAAGTGTGCCATTAAGTCGTACATATTCCTGGTCACAGTATTATCTTTTATTTCTTTCTGGATTTTCTTTGTAACGGGAATATACAATATCTATACGAACAATGAAAAAAACAAGGAAATATTTACAAGACTCTGTTCGTGAGTACTATGGGCAGGAGAACGATTTGATTACATATGTTTGGAACCACATTATGATCAAATACGAATGCTGTGGCGTGGTTAGCTTTATGGACTTTGATGGCTCCAATTGGCAGAAGGCTAATCCGAAAAAAATGTATCCAGTACAATGCTGTAAGCTGGCAAATGTGACTGCTCTTACACCAGTCTCAAAAGAATGTACACTAACTACGAACGCTGACATAGAGACATATAAAGACAGAGGATGTTTCTTCGAATTGCAGTCAGCAATATCCAGAAACAAAGGCATCATAATATGTTATATAATACTCATAGGTTTTTTTTATATAGTGGTGGCTTTATTCGCATACTGTATAAACAAGGATGAACCGCTGTTGGGTGCAATGGCCGGACGATTTACGGATTTGCTACCCTCAAAAGTTAGAGAAGATGCAGATAAGATTATGGTGGTACCCCCGGGCGGCTCGTTTGGTGACGTTGGTAACATGGTATATGTTGACGATCAACCAAAGAGGGTTGTGAAAGTAGTTTCTGCCGTGAACCCTTTCCAGAGTTATAAGTTTACACCGGACATGTACGTTGGCGATACTATCAGGTCTCATACTTCATTCAGAAACTGATTAATATATTTTTGCTTGTTCAGTACGTGTGTTAATTACATATCCTTTAATCTTAGAAACCGATATCTATATTGTGGTTTAGTATTAATATAATAGTGGCAGTTGTTAATAACACAAATACTTTTTAAATTTAACTCTTCACTACTTTGTGTGGATTAATTGGTTTACCTGCGTTCATAAACAAAGTGAATTAAATAGAACACTTATTTGGTTATTGCAAAATTTAAGCTAATCTGTAATGAATAGTCCCCAGAGTCAGCGCTAGTCCTAGTGATACGGCTCGTCTCGTTTTATGAAACAGAATAATTTGTTTTCAACTTTTAGTTTTTTTATTATGTTAGAGGGGATAGACGAGCAGACGGGTCACCTGATGGAAAGTTACTATCGCCGCCCATGAACGTCTGCAACTCAGGAGTCATAAACGCGTTGCCGGCCTTTTATTAAAGAGAACGCTCTTTTCTTGAAGGTTTGAAGGTCGTATCAATTTTAGTTATAAACCCTTGCTGCAATGCCACTCATGACGTACAATTTATAAAAACACCAGCTACCCCGGCAAACGTTGTATTGCAAAACAAAAAAAAATATAGGGATGGGTCACCCTTACCATTTAGGGGGTATGAAAAATAGATGTTGGCCGATTCTCAGACCTACCCGATGTGCACACAAAATTTCATGAGAATCGGTCAAGCCGTTTCGAAGGAGTACGGGAACGAACATTGTGACATGAGAATTTTATATATAAGACTAGGGAACCGCCTCGGCTTCGCACGGATGCAATGTAGGTACTACTAATACTTCTTTATTAAACTATTATTATCATAGTACTACAAAACATCTTTAAATCCAATATTTATGGGCCCGCTCCGATCTTGCCGGCCGCTGCTACCCGGGACGGACGTACTGTTCGACTTTCGTTGGGCCCCCGCATTTTAAAACTCTCGAAGGCTGGCAACGCGCTTGTGACTCCTGAGCTGCAGGCGTTCATGGGCGGCGGTAGTTGCTTTCCAGGTGACCCGTCTGCTCGTTTGCCCCCTATTCCATAATAATTTTAATAATATGCTGTAAAGAGTAATTTTAATCTACATTAAATGCACAACTAATCTAACGTACTTAATTGGATAAGGAATAATAATGTATTATTTAAAATAGTTTACAAGAGGGTTGAGTTTGGGTTGAAATACTTTTTTTTTTATTTATTAAGAACCAACAAACAGTAAGGTACATAGTAAAAGATCAAGATATTTATAGAGGATTACATAATTATGAAACCAACATTAGACCACATATAAAATTGACACATATAAAATTGATAGAAATAGGTAGAATAGAGGCTATCATAAAACTCAAGTAAAACCTAAATAGCTTACACTTGTTTTTAAATATGAACAAGATAATTAAATGTACAAAAAAAAACAAAAATGACCATTCTACACACAACTGATGATAGAAGACGTGTCCGTATTTATAATACTCGTAAAAGATCATTCTAGCAAATTCCAATCCCTACGAGAACCGCCCACTTCTAAGAAATACAAATTCGTTTCGAATGTAAACAAGATAATCGCGCTACAATCTATTTTTCATCTTATGCGTATTGGTATAGAACTTATTGTTCCGTGCCAACCTGCATTATTATTAAACGGTTCCCAGAATTGCGTGGTTAATCGAACTATCTGGAATGTGCCTAATTTTCTTTGTGACAATATGCATGTATTATACATATAAACCTTTCTCTTGAATCACTTTCTCTATTGGTGAAAACCGCATTAAAATCCATTGCTTAGTTTAAAAGATCAACACAAAAAAGCGACTTTATTTTATACTATGTAAATGAAATTATGTAATCCGTATTATGCCCCTAAAATTAAATTAATAGTTTTATGAATTTATAAATTTATTTCGAAAAACTATAGTATACAATAATAATTGAAAAAATATACAGTTGTTTACGGATAGATGTAGTCATGAAAAAACTGTTTCTTTTCTTCTTATAACATTCTAGTTAAGTTCTCATCTTAGTTAAGTTCTTCATTCAGAAAGCATTGTACTGAGAAATAGGTTTTTCTATTAGGAAACATTTTGTTTTTAAAGATCGATATAAATTAACACATAGTCTACAAGTATATGTTAATCTATACTAATATTATAAAGCTGAAGAGTTTGTTTGTTTGTTTGTTTGAACGCGCTAATCTCAGGAACTACTGGTCCGATTTGAAAAATTCTTTCAGTGTTAGATAGCCCATTTATCGAGGAAGGTTATAGGCTATATATCATCACGCTAAGACCAATAGGAGCGGAGCACCAATGAAGAATGTTTCAAAAACGGAGAAAATTTATTACTATTGAGAGACGCAGACGAAGTTGCGCGGGTCAGCTAGTTTTATATATACTTAGGTACCTGATTGTTTAATTTTGACTGACCTTCTCCATGGAGCTCTGATGACCCTACTGCTTCCAAAAAAAATGATCTGTACTATGGTACTGGCAAAATAGGATGGTTCTAACTACCCCGGTTCAGTTAATTGCTTTGAATTCGCGATACAGAAAATGTAGGTATTTGAATCTAATCATATTCATGTAAGGTGTACCTAAATTCAACACTAAGATGATCGTATCTGGAGACCTTATTGAATTATATTTATATTTAATGATGCAGGGGATCAGGC